CCTTGGCGTGGCTCACAATGGACTTTGTTTGTTTAGCTGCTTTTAGCCAGCCGTGCTGTGGAGAGAAGGGCAAAAAAGGCAGCAGCAGCAGCTTTTCCTGTTTCTGACACTCCTCACGAAGAAAAGCGCTGAGTGGAGCCGGTGGCCGGCACGGCTCGCACGGTGTCGGCAGAGACCCCGTGAGCAGCAGCGAGAGGCACGGTGAGTGATCCCCCCGATGGACAGCCTGGATGAGATCAACCTTTCAGTGCTGCAGAACTCTATAAGAACTGTTTCAGTTGATAAAGCTTGAGAACAAATGAACCTACAAATACCAATTCTCTCCTGAATCAGTAAAAGGAAAGGGTGAAGACACGTAAGGAAAACAACATGGGACACTGAGATCAGTAAAGAAAGAGTCAAATTCTAGTTAAGAGAGGATTAAGGAGATGCCTTGGTCTTGGACTGAAATTCTCTTTGTAAGGCTATGGCAGAGATATATTTTTGATATATCAGACTTTGTGTTTTTTCTCTGTAATTCATGAAGTGCATGGGGGGATGCAGCATTCGTCCACAGCCCATGAGAAAAGAGCGCTTGTGCTGGAGCATGTGGAAAGCTTAAACAGAGAAAAATAAGAAACTGCCCAGGGATAGAAGAAGAAAAGCTTCTGTTCCCAGAGATAAAATAAGAGAACTTTTTAGGGTTTTTATGCTATCCTTAAAATAGTACCCCATAAGTTCTTAAAATAGTACCCCATGGCCCATGAAAGCAGATTTGGGAAAGCTGCAAGGCATGGGAGGGACTTTCACACTGCAAACAGATTTTCTTTTCCCAGGTGGCTGTTTCGCTGTGACATTGACACCACAAGAGAACTGTTTCTTGTGGAGAAGTCTTCTTGGCATGATGAAAGAAGCTCATCCCCCTACAAGAATTGATGAAAGACTTGTAGAGGTGGTAACTGATTGAAAATTCCAAGTTTTGTCTCTACGTTGTCAGAAGGAAAGAAAAGTAGTTGTGGGGAGGGGAGGAGAAGAGTTCTGAAGGTTTTATTCTGATTCTTCTTAATTTTTTTAGTTCTGTTAATAAAGTATTCTTTATACCTTTTGACTTTTGAGCCTGTTTAGCCTTCCTCCTAATTCATATCTCACAGCAGGAAATGAGTACATGTTTCTTGTAGGTGCACTGGCGATTTCAGTCAGTGCTGAACCCACTACACACATGCAGTATTATTTTCCACCCAGAAGAAGTTCTCAGATAAATTCCTTGAAAGGAGAGAAGAAGCAAGTTACAGAGTAAAGGACAATTAGAAAAGATAAAATGAGGAAGAGAAGAGAAAGAACAAGAGGAGTTATTGTTCTACTTCTGTTGCACTCATAGTTGATTTGAAGGAGGAAAGGCACCTTTGACCAATGACAATAAGACCATTGCTACGTACTCAATTTCTTTGAAATTTGAAAGGGAAAGACTACTGAATTGTAGATATTCATAAGTTACTTAGAATAATTCATGTGCAGGGAGGTCTGAACATTTTAATGATGCATTTCATTCTGCAAGATTATAGGCCTGGAAGGTACCTTCTGAGGTCATCCAATTTAGAACACACTCCCAAGGAACTAAATCTATTACTGCTTATGCATACTTGTTCAACCTTTTTCAAAACTTTATGTTTATATAAAGTACAGATTTATATCCATACTTTTAAATAAATTAGTTATTTTAATTGTTTTATTTATTTATATGTTTTCTTACTTTGATGGTATTATATGAGAACTAAAAAAAAATTCATCAAAAACTGAACTTATGAAAAATTAAAGCTTAGTTCTTCACCAAGCTGAATGTAATAAATCTCCATTTTTGTGTAAATAAGGATATTATAAATTGGCAATAAATATTTCTGTTACACAAACTTTTTAGATAGATGGACCACAAATCACAGTTTAATACTGCATATGTAGGAATGCATGTGAAAATTTAAGATCATTTAATATACAGAGAATGATAACTGCAACCATGGTCAAAGTTTATTGTGGTAAATGGCATGGGGAGAGTAAGAAGGACTCATACCTCTACAATCTTCTGTAACACTAAAGGGGAAAAAATAATCTATTTAAAAACAGTATGTTCAAACCAATCACAAGAAAGAACTTATGGACTGCATAATATTTTTGTAGCCATGGTTTTCTAAATACATAAGAGAAAGTCAAGTTCTAATGAGAAGAAAGTCTTTTTAAGCCAACTACTCTTGATCAAAAAGCTAGCTACTCTGCTAGCAAAACCAGCTAGGTTCAGCTGGTTTGAGGAATGCATGTGTCTAAAACGTTGCCTGGCTTTTCCAGTTGTACCAGCTCACCTGATCAAAGATACCACCTTTTCCTACTTAGTTTTCAATTAACTTTTATCACATGCAGACACAATAGTAACAAATGCATATATATGTTAAAGGATAGCAATATTTGTGGTTTAGGGTTTATGGTTGCAGTAAAACACCGGAATGAAACTATTATTTTGTAAAACTATTATTTTGTTTCTGTGTAGCATTTGGCCTCTCCTGCACCCCGAAACAAGATGAGACAACACTTTACATCAGCATTTTCTTTTTAAAGCACATGTCTTCTGTTTGTTGAACAGAAAATATACCTTCCATTTTAAATTACTACTCACAATTTCACATGAAGGTCATCAGTCATGGACAAAGCACAGACGATTCCATCATTTATAACTATACATTCTATAGAAAGCATGGATATCGGTTAGTTGCATATTTGTCCCAGCACTTCAAAGTACCCTTTCTCCCTACATCTTTTCCCATCCACTTCTTAAACTGTCTCAGTAAGTGTGTTATGAAAAGCCTTCCAACAACCTTTTGAGGCAGTTCTGCATCTTTGCTGATGGTCCTCAGTTTCAGCTGCCACCACAGTCATCCACTGGCAACACTTTTGGGAGTAGTTTTGTTTTGTCTATTCATAGAGCTCTGATTGGCCTTGTTCACAAAGCCTCAGTATTAATAAAAGCAAAATTTCCTTCTTTGGGATGTTTGCAATATTCATTTTTATCACAAGATACTTTATTATGTGGTCTAATATAATGTAAAAAGCTTATGATATGTGAAGATATTAGTCCCAGATGCACTGAAATATTAATATTCTTAGATACAAGAAAATAATAATATTTATGATATAACTATTTTCTGAACATCATTTAGAAACAAAAATACTGCTGATGAGTCAATGCAAAAAAAAATGTTTCTAATTGTACTACAATGAACAGATATGTCTCATGGATGAATGATGAAGGATCATCATCATATATGAAAAAAGAGAAAACTAGATTTTAGTCCTGCCAAAGCAATCACAGTTGGAGAGAACTGATGGCTCAAAGCTAGTACTGAAAAACTGATAAAAAAGGAACAAAGGCTAGATTGCTCTGACTTCCCTAAAAAACTAAGGAATGTGCTTTTTAAAAACTCCTTGTATACAAATCTTCATTAACAAATATAGGAAATTACTTTGAATGCTTCATTGTTAGTCTTGATATCATAATTAGGGGAAGCCCATTAATAAAACAGATATATTGAAGTGCAACTATAAGTATTTCCATCTTTAAATGTAATGTATAATTTCTAGAACAGAATAGTTCTCTAATAGCAGCTACTTTTGTCAAATACAGCACAAGATATCAAAGTGAAAAATGCAACCCATGGTGAAGCGTAGAAGTTGAGAGATGAGAGAAATTATAATCCACGTAGTAGTTGTTAGTATAGAATGAAATGATTTGATGCACCTTTTTTTCACCTCAGAAGGAGAAAGACACATGCTTGCTTCCTTGCATGCTATGAAATATGACAAAAGTTAAGCCATTGACTTAGAATAAAGGAATTATTGAGTAATGTATCTAAAGTATACTGCACTGTGATTTTATCATAAAAGTTCATCTGGATTCTAGTTAGTCTCCAAGTGACACTTGCTGGTCAAAGTTGGATCACAGTAGATCTTGTAAAGATCTTGCAAACCTATATTCTTGCAATTCTATGATTGTAGATTCCTACAGGCTAACATTATCTTCATTCATAAGAAAGAAAATATTTTTTGGAATGATAGATTTGTCAGACCCATGCGCTATCTTTTGATATTCACCCTACTAAAAGGGCCAGTTAACTCAGAAATTATTAGTTGTCTGTGAACTAAAGCTTTAATAAAATTAATTCTACCTATAAGACAGCTGAATGGATTGGCTCCTCTCTTGTAACATAACAATGCTTTTTATACCACATTGTTGTTAGGCCTAACATTTAATTATTACAGAAGCTTAGAAGTTAGTCCTGGAAAACAGCAGTAGAAATAGACAACAATTCAAAGTAATCAAATTCCATCAACAGACACAAATGGAATGCAAGATAAGTGACTAAATGCAGTATGTACTTCAATAAGTTCAAAAAGAATTTTTTTCCTAACAGAATGTAAGGGCTGTTTGGGATAGCAATGGTAATCATTCATGGCTCAGCACAGCCACCAAAGTTTATAAAGAATGTTCCAAATGAACAGAGAGAGCTTGAAGCAACGTGTAGCTGAAATATACCCAGTCAAGGGAAAGAGAGTTTTGTAATGAAGTGGTTGTTTGTCATGCAATCTCCATAGTGCAATGAAGATGCTTAAATTCCATATTTGCCTAGAGAACAAAATTTGGTCCTAATCTTCACTGTATGCTGCAAAGACAAGGTGTCACATGAGCTGTGCTACCTGCTATAGTTCCTATGGAAGTCCCTTCTGTAAAACCCTTTCAGCCATTACAAACCAAAATCATCTTAAAAGATGTACAAATTTCCCAATCCATGGGACAACACTTTAAGTCTTGGGGAACACCTGAGATAATAGAATTGGTGGGTATCATGCAAGAAATACTTCTGTTAGGTGAAAGCAGTAAATAGGAAAGAAAATTAGGCACACCATTAGAAAAGCAAAATTTTAACTCAGTATTTCCTGAGACCTAATATGAAATCTTTCACTAAGAAGTATTGATAATTTAAATTTTAGCACTTAAATTAAAACTTTAAACATTTGTTTATCAAATGATCTCAAATGGGTTTCTATGGCATCCCACATGCTTCTGATCTGACTGCACTATTGCTAGAGATTTACTGTCAAAAAGTCATTACCCACCTCTGATTGATACGAATTAGACCACTGGTGAAATGTCAAATCTATACACTAATAAAAATGACAGCTGGATATAGTTTTCTACCTGTAAAGGTATTATTTTTGGGTTATTAATTGGAACAAAAGGGACAGAATCATTTTAGAAAATGCAAAAATAGCTTGTGTCCTAAAATTATGCTAAGATACAGAAGTTTGTAGGCATTTCCTGGGAGTCCTGCCAACTGAATACAGCTCCTAGCCCACATTATCTGCTTCTCCTCTGTGAGGATTGAGAGGTAAGGGTACAACATAAGCCATGCTGAGCACGTGATCTGTAAACTTGCTTCGTGTACAAACCGAACAGCCCTTTATCCCAGAATGAAAGCATGCACAGATGATGTGTTCAGTCTTGTGTATAAGTATTGGCAAAGGGGATACAAACTAGAAACGCTTGGAAGCTGAAGTCCTTCTGCATTTCTGTCTTTAGAAACAGCAGCTGAGACCCTGAAGGGAATGTGGAACACCAAGTGACTCTGTGAGTCCTCAATGGTCTCCCAATGGCTGAACATCTGATGAAGCAGCTGGCTCCAGCTGGGGTTAACATGCCAATAACAGTATGTGCAGGATACCTTTCAGGGTCAATATCAAAAATTTACCACTGTTGTGCTCAAAGCTTCCACTCCAAGTACTCTATTCAATTAAATATAGAAAATGGACAGCCTGTGAAATCAGCTGCTAATTAGAAAAGAGGAGAAAGCAAGCACATGGAGTGAAATGCAGGCAACAGTTGCTTTTTGCTCAATTAGCTAACCAGTATGATGGGAAAAAGTAGGATGAAGGGAAATAAAAGAGGACTTGTCTTACAATTGAAAAATTGGAGAGTATAGAAAAAAATAAAAGTAGTTTATTTGCTGCCCGCTATCCATAGAGCAATGCTGCAGCTGCTGCTCTTTTGCTGCTGAAAGCCAAATGGCT